ATGGATTATGCTTCTTATTCTTTTTTTTTTTTTTTTTGAGACAGAGTCTCACTTTGTTGCCCAGGTTAGAGTGAGTAGCATGGCGTCAGCTTAGCTCATAGCAACCTCAAACTCCTGAGCTCAAGCAATCCTGCTGCCTCAGCCTCCCGAGTAGCTGGGACTACAGGCATGTGCCACCATGCCTGGCTAATTTTCTATAATAATACCATGCATAGATAAATATTCGTGTATTGGCACGAAATTGAATATTTACTTTTTCATTTATTTGATTATTGAATAGGTGTACAAGTGGTTTCACATTTGCTCAGGCTGGTTATCGAACTTCACTTATGAGTTCCATCGAACCATTCCCTGTCACTTTCTAGACCACTCTAGCCTCACGATTATTGTCTTGTTATTGAGGACGGTTACAGGTGGTGATGCTCCATTCTCTACGCCGGTGCCTTGTGGTCTTTTTAGGATACAGTAGTCTCGGAACATTTGTGCCAGGTGTCTGCTCAGTGACATCGGATGCACAATGGCATTTAGCTTTGCTCAACGCTAGCAACTTCAGACTCCTGGGCTCATACTCTGGCTCGCATTCCCAAGGCTGATAAGGTGCCCACCCAGCCTGGGTAATTTTTAAATTTTTGTAGAGAAAGTTGTGCTATGTTGCTCATGTTGCTGCCACACTGGCCTTAAGCTTTTATTTTTTATAAGACTAGATATTCTTTTAATTTACATCTATATTTTTCTGTTTTAAGACTATTATACTAGATTTTAATCAGGTGTGTTTAATGCAAGTTCATTTTATCTATTTAAATATTAGTCAATAATATGTTGGCTGATTGGTGGCTCATTATAATCTAGCACTTTGGGGGTCAAGGAGAGGCATAGGGCGGAGTTAACACCAGCTAGAGCAGAAAGACTTTGTCAAATACAGAAATGCTACGTGTGGTATGTGTATGGTCTCAGGAGGGCTGGGCAGGAGGATCACTTGGCCAGGAGTTTTGAGGTTGCAATGAGTTGATAACCCTATACTCTACGCTGGGTGCAAAAGTAGACCCATCTCAAAAAAAGATTATTGTTAGTATGGCATATTATGTTTTGATAGAACTGCCTCCTTGAATTTATTGTGCAGGTTGTTCTAATACAAATAAGTATTGATATAATTAGATCTTTACTCTAGACATGGCTTTTAGGGAATATACTTATTTTTGTTCTTACCAAGAACCAATTGTTCCAGCCTTTGATTCCCTTCTTGAAAGCTAAATTCTGTGTTATTGTGCTGGTTGTTTCTTCAACAGTTTTGCTTTTAACACTATTGAGCTAATGAATGTGATATAAGGAGTTGATAAAGGGCCGATGGAATGTGGAAGACTGAGAGGAGAAGTGTAATTTGGCTTGAATATATAAAGATCATTTATCATAACATGTTGTCCTTCTTTGCCTCAGCCTCCCGATGTGCTGAGATTACAGGCAGTTGTGCCTATCTCTTGCTGGCTTAAATTATATCATGCTTGATCTTAGATTAATGTACTAAAAGATTCAGTTCAGATGGATGTGGTCATAGCTAAATTCTAATGTTTTCCTATCATGGAAATTTTAGTAATGGCAAGTAGAATAGTGGATGTTGTACTTTGTCCTTGACTCATGGGGTCTCAAACTCCTGACCTGGAGCATCTGCCTGCCAAGGATGCCTAGAGTGTTAGGATAATATTTACAGACTATTAAACTGAGCGCATGTAATACAAGTACTCTAAATTTAGTTGGCCAATTAATTTCTTTCTATTTATAGTAGAGACGGGGTCTCGCTCTTGCTCAGGCTGGTTTTGAACTCCTGACCTTGAGCAATCCGCCCGCCTCGACCTCCCAAGAGCTAGGATTCAGATGAGTTTTTAACAAACCAGAATTTGGAAGCAGCAGGGGAAAGCAGGGGATCAGAGTTACTTATAAGTGGCAACTGATCAAGCAACAGGTTTGAACCCTTGAGTGAAAAAGGAAGGCAGGAGCAACAGCGGGACGCAGACTGGCAGAATGAAGTGGCTAGGGTGAGAGAAACCGCGCAGCCGGAGCCCAGGGGAGAGGACTGAGCGCAGCTGGCTGGGGAACCCACGGCGTGCGGCCGGACCGGCCAGCTCGCTGAGCTTGCTTCTCAACAGAACGACCAGGAAGCCCTAAAAGATGTGCAGTTCGGACTGGTGTTTTGGCGTGATAACTTCCGCGTGTGTGCAACGGCGAGCACCGCCCGCGAACTTCCGCGTGCGAGGGGGACTGGAGAGACGCCCGCCCGCCCGCGCCCAGCCGGGCCTGAGAGGAAACCCGCGCTCCCCGCCCGGCTGGCCCCCACTGGGGCGAGAGGGGCGGGCCAGGGGCGGGCCCGCGGCCACGCTCGAGCCGAGGCGCAGCCCCACAGGCCGCCCGGGCGCGCTCGCCGCGCCCCGCCCCGAGACTACACTTCCCAGCACGCCTCGCGCCGCTCGCGCGCCGCAGTTGACCCATTTCCCGGCCCGTCACGGGCTCGGCCGGCCCCCGCGCCCAGGCGGCTGCTCCCTGCTGACTGGGGTGTGGGCGGGGAGCGACGGAGGGAGGAGGAGGCGCTGCTGGCCGCCGCCGTTGCCTCCGCTGCTGGGCGCCGGGACAGCTCCCCGGGTTCCTGCAGCCGCCATGGACGAGCAGGCGGGTCCTGGCGTCTTCTTCAGCAACAACCACCCGGGCGCCGGCGGTGCCAAGGTGCTCGGGCCTCTGGCGGAGGCTGCCGCGGCCGGCGACGGGGCGGCTGCGGCGGGGGCGGCCCGAGCCCAGTACAGCCTCCCGGGTATCCTGCACTTCCTGCAGCACGAGTGGGCCCGCTTCGAGGTGGAGAGAGCCCAGTGGGAGGTGGAGCGGGCGGAGCTGCAGGTAAAGACCCTCCCGGCCTGGCCCTCTTCATCCCGCCTCTTCGCTCCCTTCCGCCCCGCCCCGGACCCTGCTCCCCCTCCCCCAGCCCTCTGGTCCCCTCCCCCTTTACTCTCGCCCATCCCACCCAGAACCTCAACCCCTTCCTCCTTCACCTTTGCTTTTGCTGACCCCACTTCTTCGACCCCTGTTCTCACTCTCGCTCCTGATACGTTGTTTATTCTCCTCACTCCTTTTCGTCTGCTCTTTTGCACTCTTAACTCCCATTCCTCATTTCAGCTGTCTTGCCATCCCACATCTTAGTGCCCCCCACCGCCGGTTTACTAATTGGCCTGACAGTAGTTTTGAGAGATGCTGAGCATATCATCCTCTGTCCTAGAGTGTCCCATCCTAGGTCTAGAAACGTTTCCCGCAAAAGGTATTTGCACTTGGCTTCCCTCTCTGCAAGAAAGGTGACCAAAGAAGACAACACAAGTTGTGGTAGTGAAGCCTTGACTTTAGGCGAGAAGCTGGCTTTGGGCAAAAGCATTATTAAAATATCAGCTCTCTTTTTATATATGTAAATGTTTCTTCTCCACCTTCTTCCCTCTCGCATTTCTTTTAGGTGTTCCAAACTCATGGATTTTAAATGAAGGACCTAGTTGATCAAAGTCAGATGATGGTTCAGAGATGGTTTCTGTTCTCAGAACCTAAAATTCCCAAGGGTTAATTTTATGTTAAGTATTTTGGGAGATCAACTTGTACTTTAAAAGAAACTAAAGGGACTTTAAAGTTAGTTACATTCCTTTGCATAATCTGCAAGATAAAAGTATGTTCAGGGAGGAGATACGTGAGCTTTTAAAAGAATGAAGGTGAGGCTGATACTTTACAGACTATTCTGAATTAGTAAGGAGGTTTTCAGTGGCTCTTAAAACTTTCCAGGCATACGGCAATTTCAGGAAGAACTTAAAAAAACTATGAATAGTTCTGCCTTTGTGTTTTACAGGCTAATCTTGTATACTTACGAAATTTGAGTATAGTTTTGGTTGGTGAAACCCTTGAAATTAAAATGCTACCCAGTGTGTCACTTTTTTTGGTAACATGTATTTTCTTTGGAACTTGAAAAAAGAAGAATAGAAGTCTGTTAAATAAAATGTGCTGGAATAGGTTGCTTTGGTGTAGTGGAAATGGCTTTGGAAAGAGCAAACAGACAAGGGTTACAGTAGACAGGGTTCTACTAAGGGCTGTGTGCTTGTTGCTAGCTCTGTGACCTTGAGGAAATCCTTTAACCTCTCTGTGTTTCAGCTTCATCATTGTTTATTCGGCATATGTTTGTTGAGTGCCGCTATGTGACTCTAGGCCCAAAAAGCTTCTGCCCTCATGAAGCTTATGCTTTAGTTAGAGGCAAATGATCAAGCAAATGCATCTGTATAATATAATGGCCTTTGGTAGCAACTGTTGTGAGTAAAAAAAATAAATCAGGACAGGGGAACAGAGTGTGATAGGGGCAGCTATTTTAGATGAGTGGAGGCCTCTGAGAGATGACATATGAGCAGTTGAATGAAGTGAAGGAGTGACCCATAGTTTCTACATTTACATGTTTATATTATTTGGCAACTTTTTATCCCTACTGTTATGTTGCTTTAATAGCTAGTCTATTTGATATTTGTTAAGTCTTCTCATAAGGAATCTGACTTTGTCATTCTAGTAACCAACAAATTTGAATGCTTATGCATTCACCTTTTTTCTTTTTTTTTTTTGAGACAGTGTCTTGCTCTGTTGCCTGGGCTAAAGTGCCCTGATGTCAGCCTTACTCATAGCTACCTCAAACTCTTGGGCTCCAGCAGTCCTCCTGCCTAAGCCTCCCAAGTAGCTGGGACTATAAGCTCATGTCACCAAGCCCAGCTAATTTTTTCTATTTTTAGTAGAGAAGGGGGTCTTCTTGCTGAGGTTGGTCTCCAACTCCTGACCTCAAGTGATTCTCCTGCCTTGGCCTCCCAGAGTGCTAGGATTACAGGCCTGAGTCACCATGCGTTTACCTTTATTAGTAGTGCGTGGATTTCAGGCTTCAAGGAAGTGTTAAAGGCAAGGTTTAATGTTGTACTATTGTGGAAAATGATTCTTGTATGTAGCTGCTTAAATTTTAATTTCTTTTTCAGTGCAGGTCACACTACACTGTGTAGTGTCTAAGATACTTACACACTAGTGTAAGTTAAGTCACACTACTTTGGTCAAAAACAAACATGAAGGCTGGGCGCAGTGGCTCACGCCTGTAATCCTAGCACTCTGGGAGGCCTAGGCGGGTGGATTGCTCAAGGTCAGGAGTTCGAAACCAGCCTGAGCAAAAGCGAGACCCCGTCTCTATTATAAATAGAAAGAAATTAATTGGTCAACTAATATATATAGAAAAAGTTAGCCGGGCATGGTGGTGCATGCCTGTAGTCCCAGCTACTCGGGAGGCTGAGGCAGTAGGAATGCTTGAGCCTAGGAGTTTGAGGTTGCTGTGAGCTAGGCTGACGCCACAGCACTCACTGTAGCCTGGGCAACAAAGCGAGACTCTGTCTCAAAAACAAAACAAAACAAAAAAACATGAAAACAGTGCTTACCTTCCTACTTGTGGAAGTTTGGGAATTTCCAACCCATCCTGCTCCCTGTTCTCTCTTACTCCCCTCATGTTTAAACTTTTCAATTTACCTGTAACTGTAGTTAGTCTTCAGTTTTTACATGTGTACAATCCTACACACACCCTTGAGGTTATTTATGCTTCAACTTCAGGTAAGTTTCCTGTTGGTGCTCGTCATATTAACAACACTACTTTTTTAAGAGTGTTTTTTGATTTGTGCTCAAATTAAATTAAGCTTCCACAGAGAAATTTTAAGAATGTGTCTATTTTCCAAACAGAACAAGTCCTGTGCGTTTTGGGGGGAGAGGGTTTGCAATAATCTATGGTCTTATTAGCATAATTGAAAAAATTTTTTAATCATTTCTTTACATCATTAAATTTGAATCTTTGTTTTTTGCCAATGAATTTTCTTAGAAAAACAATACAAAGTAAAAATGTTGAATGAATTGTGATAAAATAGGGATCAGTTGGTGTCCTTTTAATTTTTATGTTTCTTTTCAAGTCATTAACACCAAGGTCAACAAAAATGCCTTTAAGATTAAGTCTAATTTGTTCCTTCAGGAACCTGTCAGTCCTGCTCTTTCAGGTTGCTAGGGCAGAGCTGTGAAAGGCAATCCAGGCTCTCATCTACCTGGCCTGCCTTTATCACTTCCTCCTCCACATCTTGGGAGTAATAAAACAGCAGCATTGTACCAACACTTCTTTGTCATTTATTTTCCTTTGCCTGTCTTAGTTAATAGACTTTCTTTTTACTTTTGGTAATACTCTCCTCACCCTCATCTAGGTGAGAATAGGGGATTCATGGGGGAAAAAAAGAAATGATCAATATTATTATTGAGTTTTACATTTGTGAAAGGAATTGGAGAAGGAATACTAATCATAATTGAGAACATTTTTTGTATGTGATACATTGTACTGGATGACCTCAAAGAAACATGCAGTCTAGTCAGTATGATAGAACATAAGCAACATGTAGAAGAACTAGTGTTCATCATTTGGAGGGGTTAATTTTCTTAGAATAGTGTAGGAGAGAACTAACAGTGAGTGAGAAGAATAGTATGAGGAAAGAACTTTATGAGGTCATGAGAACCCGAGGCTCAGTATTTGAAGTTTACTGACTTACGAGAAAGCAAGCATGTAAATAAAAAATAGAAATTATTGGCCCTAGATTTTGATGATGTGTGTGGTATGTAGGAGGTTCTGATATTTACCTGGGAGTGCTAGAGTTGTGTGAAAAAGGGGATAAGATTGAGTAGCTTAGGGCGTGTGATGTGAAGGCTGTATGCTGGAGTGTTCATGAATCTGGGTTTTGGCTTTAGTAATTCATATTTTCATTCCCCAAATATTTTTCAAGCACCTACCTTATGCCAGGTCCTGTTCTAGGCACTGGAAATAGAACAGTGAAGAAAACAGATCCTGCCTTTATGAAGCTTAAATCGTTGGGGCAGACAGACAGTGATAAATAAATATATAAAATGTTGGAAGGTAATAACTACTCTGATTGGGTGAGGGGGATGTGGAGTCCTTGAGAGGGTGGGATGGGGAAGAAAGGCTTCACTGATAAGGTGCCATTTGAGCTAAGACCTGAAAAGGAAAGCTGCCTTACAGTAGACAGGTGAGGAAAAGAGCTTTCTAGGCAGAAGGACCAACTGGGGGAAGGGAGCATGCTTGGAATGTTTGAGGAATAACAAAGAGGCAAATGTAGCTAGAATAGAGGAAGTGAATGGAAGAAATGATGTCCAAGAGGTACTGGTCTTGTCCACTGTAAGGACTTTGGATTTAACCTCTGCAAGATGGGCAGCCATTGGAATGTTTTCAGCAAAGGAATGATACCATCTTTAAAAGGAAACCTTTGCAAGGATTCAGAGTAGCTGTGAGGGGAAGACAAGGGTAGAAGAAGCAGGGAGGCTAGTTTAGGAGACTATTTTAATTAATCCAGGCTGGAGATGAACTCGTGCGGTAGTGATAAGATACATGTATATGTACTTTCATATATGTTCAAAATATAATGGATTCTGAGTACATTTTTGAAGGTAGAACTAGCAAGATGTGCTAAAGGATAGGATGTGAAGTTTGAGAAAAAAGGGAGTCAAAGATGCCTTAAGAGTATTTTGACTAGCACTCTGGGAGACCAAGTGGGCAGATTTCTCAAGGTCAGAAGTTCAAAACCAGCCTGAACAAGAGCAAGACCCCATCTCTACTATAAAAAGAAAGAAATTAATTGGCCAACTAAAAATATATAGAAAAACAATTAGCTGGGCATGGTGGTGCTTGCCTGCAGTCCCAGCTACTCGGGAGGCTGAGGCAGGAGGATCGCTTGAGCCCACGAGTTTGAGGTTGCTGTGAGGTAGGATGACGCCACGGGTGCGTGAGCAGCATAATTTTTAGTTATGAACTCTAC